CCATGTCCCTCGCTGGGGTCTCTTGTCTGTGCTGCCTGGGCCCAGCCTGATTATCTGACCAAGGCTCTATTGGGGCAGACTGTTGCTCGACACGGGTGTGTTTATTCTTTGGTGGGCGGAAGCTGGAGAACCCCTCTGGAATATGACATGTAGGATCTACATTTTGAAAATCTAACACCTATTGTAAGAATAATAACCCTTCAAATGGTTAAGAATATCATTGTTGGGCCAGGGATTTAGCTCAGTGGTTTCACAGCCTGCTATGCAAGCGCAAGGACCCGAGTTCGATCCCTGATACCAAAAAAAACCATCACTGTTGTGGACTTGGGGGCGCACCCCTGTAGAGCAGTGTGAGACCAAAAGTGAGCCTAAGCAACGCCATCTTGGCCTGTGAGTAAACTCCCCTCACACCCCTCCCCTTACAGAGTGCTGGAATTCTAAAGATGCATTTTTGTAACTGCCCTTCTAACCACTCCTCTGCTTCTGTAGATATGCTTTATCGCTCCCTGGGAACAGATGGTGCCTGGTGCCTCCCTGTAGCCGCTGAACTCTGTAGCCATAGAATGTCCTATCTTGACAAGATAGCTGGGTTGTGAAAGATAATCTGCAGCTGGTTGAAGGACATGTTGGCCTCTCCCTGAGCTTCTTTGTTTGAGTTACCTAGAAAAGCTGTGCTGTCCCCTGCTTCGCGGCTTCACTTCTCCTAGAGGGTGGAGTCCACGCCCGTGAATAAACTCCTTTCAGTTTTTAACTCTGTCTTTGTCCCAGTGTTCTGTGATTTCCTGGCTTGCTTGGTATAACAAGCAGCTCTGAGGCAGGAGGATCACCGTGAGTTTGAGGCCAGCCTGAACTCCACAGAAAGACCCTGTCTCAAAAAACAATCAAACTAACAGAATATCATTGTCGACCCTTGTGGGCCAATCAAAGTATTTTCGGTTTTCAGTACCACTGCTGTGGAAGCCCCTGAGAGCTTGGGCCCTGGATCCCAGGGAGGAAAACAAGTCCCAATGCAGAGGGAAGGTGGGGAGGTTCCTGCTGCTCTGCCGTCAGCACACAGGCATCTGTTCCCCTTGCTGTCCTGGATGGCACTGTTGGCGACCACTCTGCAAAGCCTGAGTGATCCACTAGGACGCGAGGACTGTTCTATTTGCAAACAGGATTCCTGGAGTGCTGCTGACCCCCGAGTTCCCTTGCTAGGGTGCTAGGAGTGTGTGAGTTTGGGAGATTGTAAGAGGTAATGAGATTACAGAGTCACATTCAAGTGATACATTGTAGCTAGCAAGTGTTTCCATCTGCAAAACAAAGAAGTGATTACTTTCAGTGGGGATATAGAGATAAGGAGAGAATCTGAGCCTGCGGTAATAAGTGGTGAGGAGCTTCACTTTCTGCAGAGCAGTTGAGGCCATTTCTTTCTAATTATCCCACGGCAGAGGAAGTAGCTTTCAGAATTACACAAACAGTACTGATATTTTCTCAACTTTTTGGAGGGGAAAGGTTTTGTATTTAAAATTGATGACAAAGATGCATGTGCATCTCTTATCCTACCCAGTATTCCACAGTCATATTGTGTTTGAAACAGCTTGTGTATCCCTGAGTTGAAGAGAAAAGCAGCACTTGTCCCATCTGAATGGCATGATGTGGATTCACCACCCATAGAAAAGGTATCATGTGGGCCAGGGATTTAGCTCAGTGGTTTCACTGCCTGCTGCACAAGAGCAAGGACCTGAGTTCAATCCCCGGTACCAAAAAAAAGAAAAACAAAAAGTATCACTTAGTGAAACTCATTGCCTCAGTCAGAAATCCACAGCCTGACTGTGCCAAGAGCCCAAAAAGAAGAGTCACTGTGGCTGTTTAATTGCCCGAAGGAATAACACGCCTGAAGGTCTCATTTATCGCCTTCCACTGTGGTTTGCTTCCCTGGGACCCATGCATTGTTCGGACTCATTGTTCAGATTCTGGGCTTAGTCAGCTCTGCCCTCCACCTGTGCAGGAGCTGCCCTGGGGACCGTGTTTGAGCTGTCGCGGGACAGGAAGTCAGCTGTAAACTGTGACCCGGCAGCGTCGTTCCCTTCCCTGCCTGAGTTCCTGACTGGGGTCTTTCTGAGTCAGCTGTGTCGCTTGGCATCAGCCCTGGGTTATGCCGGATTGGGGTTTTTCTTGAGAAGCATGTTAGTGATTTGCTTGTGGGGAGAAGGCCCCTTTCAGTAAGTCCATTTTTAAAAACTTGACTTCAGTTGTGTTTGGTGGGCAGTAATCATAATTTGAAAGTGCTCATTCAGGGGGTATTTTAGAAAACAAGAGCCCACTTTCCCAGTTAATCATGTTCACTGCGTATAAATCAGAAAGAACCAGAGAACACCCAGGAATGAGCGAGAGCACTCCGACTTCTCAGTGAGCCCCTCGGCAGCAGAAGGGAATCTGAAAGAGCACTTTCAGCAGTTAGTCAGGGGCAAAGTCTTGGTCACTGGGGCGTTTCTGAGACGCTCTCCCCTGTTGTGCCCTCTGCGCCTACAGAGACGTCCCACCCATGGGTCCCTTCCCTCCTGGGACTGACGGCTCCATTGTGGTGAATGAGGCTGCAGCCGCCAGGCTGTTCTTGGGGATTGCAGTGTCTGCTGGTGACCTCACCATCCGTCACATGGAGAGGGGGATCAGGCACAGGCAGCCTCTGAATCTTAAGCAAGGCTTGCGACCTACTGGGTAACCCGTGTCTTAGGGCAGGGTCACCGCTGTTTCCCTGGGAAGCGCTCAGGAGAGACGGAGCCAGTGCCCATTCTCTCCTTTCCCCACTGTATCCAGGCCCTCGAACCCTGCGAAGACCTGAGTTCCTGTCCCTTCACACTGATCCCAGTTCCCGGTGCTAACGTACTTTCCCATGTCAATGTGGGACTCTACTTTTTAAATTTTACTGTCATTCTGTACTTTTCGTTCTCACCAAGATAAAATCCCTAGTACAACACGCACTTGTCTAGAACAGCATAAGTACACATGATTTGCTAAGTCTTGTTCCACATAAGGGTAGATGTGCCGCATTTAAAAGATGAAAAACAAGTCTGTCATTTGTAAAACAACCATAGGAATCAGAAAAGCTCAGCAGTGGTGTTGAATAGATTCTCCTGAAGAAATTTCTTCTGTTTTTAAACAATCGCATACTTTAATTTTTCATATACCTTACAAGACATATAATATAAGGTTGTATAAAAATGCATATTCATACTTCTGACTTTGCCTTAGTTCTAAACATCAGAAAATCTAAACAGTTAAAGGGGGCGGAGATACCAGGCATGATGTCAGTGGCGTGCACTTGTAATCGCAGTACTCTGGGAGGCTGAGGCAGGAGGATGGCAAATCTGAGCACAGACTGGGCACCTTTAGAGACTTAGGGAAACCTTATTTCAAAATAATAACAGAAGGGTGTGGCTCAATGGGAAGGCTCTGAGTGCGATCCCCAGCACCCCTTCAAAAACCAAGAGCTTATGGGGAAAGTGGAAAAGGAAGAAACGTCTGTTCTGTGATTTTTGTCCATTCTTGAATCTGGTATCCCCACTTACCTGTCAGGAGGGAGCCCCGCCTTTGCAGACTCTCAGTGGAAAACTCTGCATTCAGGGCTGGTTTTAGGGTTTTATCCTCTAGATGCTAATGGGTCCGGTTTCTGCACAGCCAGCTAAGAGGTGGGGGTTGGCTGCGGGCCTGGGGACCCTGGGGGGCAGGGCTGTGCACAGTGGCCCCTGGGATGGGGAGGCCGAGTCTCTGCTCGTGTGAAGGCCCCGCTGGCACTAAGATGGGTCCCCATCTGTCTGCAAAGACCCATGGCCTTGGCCACCAGGGGGAGAACAGAATGGCCAGCTAGGAAGTGGGTCGACTTTGCAGTCAGATTTGGCCTTAAACTCTGGCTTTTCTGTTTGTGGGCTGTGTGGCCTTTAGCTTGTCAGCCTGAGCCTCAGTTTCTCCATTTGCAAGAGGCAGAGCAGTTATTCCTCATGTCCAGAAGTACCTGGTGCTAGTAACAGTCAGACGTGTTGTTCTCTTTCTCTTCATTGAAGAGCCAGGGAACAGGGTGATAGCTGCAGTGACCTAGTGGCCACAGTTTTCAGCAAAGTTCTTGGAACCGTCTGGTCTATCCCCAGAGAGCTAGAGAGCAAGTTCTGAGAGAAAGCCCCAGCTGGAGAGCGGCAACATGAGGGAGCTCCCGAGCCTGTGCCCACCCGGCATGCACAGCCGCTCCAGGGTGGAAGCCCTGACTCCACGGGGACTTTCTCTTTACTCTCACCTGACAACAAATCCAGTCTATTTTATGAAGCTGATGTGTAATCAATACTTTTTTGACAGGTGATTTTTCTTTAGCCAGAAGCATCCACCATTACACTGCTTTGAAATTCTCATTAGTTTAAACAATCAGACAGTGACATTCAGAACAAATTCAGTTACTCACATAATGTACTGACTGCAAGGAATTAGGACGCTCTTTAGCGATCCAAAGATCTCTCATGTTCTTTTTAAAATGCCTTCAGTTTGTGCAAAGTAAGACAGATGTTCATTAAAATAAACTTAAAATATTATTGAAACAATGAACAATTCAGTGCTCCGTGAGTTCTAGAATGACCCGCCCTCCCCGAGACCGTGTGCAGTTTCAGTACCAAGCTGAGTAGGTCTGTGCGGAAGACGCCCTCTCTCTGCCCCGCCAATTAGGAGGATGTGAGGGGTGAGGCTTCCATGACTTTCTCCCCGTTAAATTCCAGAGCACGCCAAAACCCGTGAGTCCTTGTGGAGACACACATCAAATAGACCATGGCATCAGATTTTGGGTGATGGTGTAGAGTAAAAATAATAAGATGCAAATGATTTTATTTTAATTCACAAAGTAAAATTTCTCAGTAGTTAGGCACTATAATCTTCAGAAATATTTTGTAAAGATTTTGAAAGCTGTCTTGGTAGTGAAAATATTCTGTGAAGGTAACAATTTTATAATTGTTTTTTCTTTTTCCTCTTGTCCATTCCAGGGTCAGCCTGGTCCTCAGGTAAGTGAACTCTTTTCTAACAAATTAACTCAGGGTGGAGGGTTTTTCCACAGCACTCTTCAAAGAAACCAGGAAAGCTCTGAACTGCTACTCAGACCTCCATAGAGTAGGCCACATTTTTCCCAGGCGTGAGGCTTCCTTCGGGGCCCCACAAGGGCTGCTGGGGCCGATGGGTTTTGCCGCTGTGCCCTGGTGGAGAGCAGGGCCCTTAACTGGCCTGGACCAGGACCGTGGGACTTTGCCAAAGGCAGAGAGAGTTAGTTAGTGTCGGGCACGGACTGGTTTGCATTAGGTCCTGGTTAATCGTCTACTAATAATGTTGTAAATCCACAACAGGATCCAAATCTGATTATTGGGCCTGTGATCCTCCAGGCTCCATTTGATTTAATACAGACAGATATTGACTTTGTTCTACATTTTCCATATAAGCCAACTGCTGCAGACATGATTTATAATTAAGCATGAAGCAGTCAACAGGAAATCTTTGAGCTCTAAATCAGATTGAAGAAAATGAACGAATTTTGAGAAAGGGCAGAATATGTATAAAGATGGAAATATAAAAGAAGAAATGAGTGTCTAGAAACAGGGCAACAAACCCAGACTCAATTATCAATGTTAATTGTGCTCTGTAGGATGCTATTGAGAAGGCATTGCAGTGTTGATATTTTACCTTAAACATCATAATAACTGCGAATAATGCAGTAATTTATCGAACTCTCGTCTATTCGCTTGATGTGCTGAATGCTGCTTTTCCTTAGACTGTTTTACGAATGAGCCAATTCATGATAGCTTTGCAGTCGGGATTATCTGTTATGTGCTCATCCCAACTCTAGATCACAAGATCTAGTATTGGCATGATTTATAGATCTTCTGAGCTCTCTGGATAAGGATGTCTGATAAAAGCTGAGCAGAAATTCCTCCATATTTCCTAGGAGAGCAGTTCTTTGTACACTAAGCTCATGAGAACAAGTTTGACCTTTAATTAATTTGTATTGATATCTGAGAATATTCTCATTATTTGTCACTTCCATGTTATATTCCAAGTTTGAAGTAATTATTAAAGGAGGGGCATAGAAGAAGGTTATATCTTGTTTCCTAAATTTGATGTAGCTGTTGTATAGTGAGATGAAGACAAAGAGGTTCCTTGCATGTGTCATTTTATGTACTGCTCACAGCAGCTCCGGGAAGCCATGTGTGCATGCACACGCATGTGTGTGTTCACATAGTCATACGTTCAGGGGAGACAAATTGTCACCTGAGTGAACCCTAGGCTGGGAGAAGTCAAGGCTAAATAAAAAGCCCTGCTCTCCCTCTTAGCACCAAACCCTCGAGAGAAAAGGTGGGACAGCAAATGGGATGCAGTTTTGGAGAGAACATTTTGATCTTTAACACATTTTAGGTTCATTTAGGACCTCTGTCTCAGCTTGGGCCACTTCTCCTTCATGCCAAAGCACTTCTTAAGGATTTGGGCACCAGTAGGTTGAGAGATGATCCCAAGAAACAGGAACAAGTGGAGAAACAACACAAGGAAGGCAGGATAGCCACACACTGGTGACCGCTGTGGACCACTGAGACCCAGTCTCCTGAGGAACCTGTGAGAAGCTGTACAGAGCATGCCCCAGAGTCGCCCACTGAGGAGCAGGGGTGCTGATGTGTGGTCCACTCACTTCCCTGTTTGGATGTGGATTTCCTGGCACTTCTGGCCCACACAGAGGCCTTGTGCACTTCCACTGCTAGAGGAAAACAGGAAGCTGCTGAGTGGATTAGGACTTGTTCTCCCTAGCGCTGTCTTTGAGCAGGGCTGTGGCATGGGCGGATGCCACGTCTGCTTTAACACCCACCTGCAAACATCTTGTAGACAAAATAGTGAAAAATTCAAATGTGAATGTGAGGACTTGGAAATTTGGACATAAAGACAGCATTAAAAGCCTATTAGTAAAAGAAAAACAACAACAAAAGCCTATTAGTAAAAGAGATGCTTTTTAATAAAAAAAAATAATAACTAAAAAGTAAAGCACAGGCATAGTAAATCTTGAGGATCAGCCCAGTTAAGCACAGAAGAAAGGATAAACCAGCATAGGCCCAAGAATGGACACAGCCAGGAGCTCCGAGGCCCCTGTGAGTGAGACCTGGACATGGATCTCAGACCCCTAGACTCCCTTCATACCAGGGCTTAGTTCATTGTGGTCCTTCAGAACACAAAGCACAACTGACCCTACGCTTCAAAATTTTGGAAATTTGTGAGGAAGATGGGACTGGCTTTCCAGATAGTGCCCTCTTGGTTTTCTTTGTTTTCATCATGAGTTTGCCTTTGGGGCCAATTGGGTCATGTGATCATTGAGTTCAAAATGTCTTGCTTACGTCAAAGCCGCAGGAAAGGAATGAGTCAGGATGGGTAGGGACAAGAGGAAGTGTGACCCCAAGAGTGACCCTGACATTCTTTCCAGAGCACAGAAATCAGGCAGAGTCTTGGCACTTTGTCCCTAAGGAAGAGTCTAGGGCTGGGGATTTAGCTCAGAGGTTCTGCCGCCTGCCTCAAAAGCTCAAGGTCCCGAGTTCTATCCCTGGTACCAAAAAAAAAAAAAAAAAAAAAGAATGGATTGGACCTAAGGAAGAGTCTAGACTGCCTCATATGTCTACATCATTATCGTAAAATTTTTCCAGGGAAATTTCATTATTACATTTTAAATAGTTTTTAGTATTTTTTAAATTTTGTATAGGGTGATCAGTAGCTTTGCTCTGAGATTTGTTACAAATTATGGAGTAATAACAAGTAAGAGTGATTACAGAACCCAAACTGGGAAACATTAATGGTTGAAAAGATTTTTATTTGGTCAAATAAGGCACATAGAATATTTTTATAGTATTAATAACAATTCTGGTTTTGTCTTTTCTTTTTCTCCTTTTTGTGACTTAAAATGATTTTTCCACTTTTCTCTTCTAATGGCAACATTTGTGATTTCCTGATTTTTGATCTAAAACTTGTTATTTGCATAGCAGTCAGTTTAAGAAACTTACCTATAGGGCTGGGGATTTAGCTTAGTGGTTTCGCCACCTGCTGGGCAAGCACAAGGACCCAAGTTCGATCCCCGGAACCAAAAAAAAGAAACTTACCTATATTTCTTCCCTGCCAATCCCATGTCTCTTTAGTACCTATTGTTAGCTGTAGTGGAAGGGCATGGACAAACCTTGGAAATAATCTTATTCTGTCCATCTTTCTGGTCTCCTTTGCAATATTAAGGCAAGGGAAAAGAGGAAAAGCGTTTCCCATCTATACAAGCTTTCTCTGAACAAGTTCTCCATTAACTGATTCTCAAACCCAAATTTCTCAACCCTCCCTGAGTCCTAGCCATTCCCCTGGGACTCTTAACTAGTCTAGTACTAGTTGAGTCTACCTGTCCATAGACCATCTGTACTCTTTAGCTGGCTGTTATGGTGAGGGATACTTTTCTAAAAACCCCAATTTTCAACTTTCAATACATTTTTCATTACAGAGCTACCACCAGTACCAGTCTGCTTCTGTTATATAATAGGAATATTTTTAGGTATATTAGAAATTAAGCTTTGTGGATTGGATTGGAATAATAAACCATATTTATATTATAAGCCCTAAGGGAAAATACAATTAGGTTTCCAAATAACTAACTTCCAAAAAAAGTCATAATTGTTCGATTTGGGGGCTTGTTCATTCTTTAAAGTTTTCTTTTTTTTTTTTTGGTACCGGGGATGGAACTCGGGACCTTGTGCTTGAGAAGCAAGCGCCAGAACCACTGAGCTAAATCCCCGGGCCCATCCTTTAAAGTTTTCTAAAAGATTTGGGCAGAATTATAGTTAGCCACTCATTGTTGCGCAAATGCTTGCATGGGGTAGACGTTCCCCTCGTCTTATTCTACACTACTGCATAGCAGATAGCTCTCCTTAGAGGATGAAAACTCAATGCTACGCCCTCTATATCACATTCTTTCATAAGGGCTTCCAGATCATTGAGGATTTGGCCTCGAAGACTGATGATGAAGAACAGAAAGTTTCCCTTTTTACTGAGTAGCTCTCCTCATCTTCCTAAAGCTGAAGACAGTTTTGATGTGTAGACAGTTAAGAAATTGTAAAGACTGGCATGTGAATGTCAGTGGACACCGTTAGTCACAGAGTGAAACTGCTGCAAAAGCAGACCTCAGGAGGAAAGGTTAGTCCTCGCATTCACCTAAATGTGGGGAAAATGGTTCTTCGCAAAAGAAAGGAGGTGGGGAAAGGCGCCTCGAGTAGCTGTGGCTGAGGTGCAGGAGGAAGGGATGAAGGGAGAGGGTGTGGCTGGGAATTGACTGAGTCAAGGGAAGTGAGATTCTCAGAAAGGAAAAATGGTGGCAGGGAGCAACTAATGTCACCCTGACATGAGGAAAAACAAGTGACAACAGAGGGTAGGGACAGAAAGAAGAAAAGGAATTAGAAAAAATGTATTTGTATTTCAAACTAGAGAGGAGAATTATTTACTCTATTAAAATGGAAGCAGTAATTCTGATTTTTGTTATTAATTCATAGTAGCATAATTCACTCGCTCATCTATTGAACATCGAGTACAAGGCACAAAAAAGCAATGAAATTGTGGTAAATAATACAGACTCCCTCTTGGGATAGTTATGTGTTTTATTTTTTTACTTTTAAAATGGCGTGTTCTTCTTTTAAAATATTAATCGATGAAGATTAAGAATGTTTGAGATGTGCAACGTGATGTCATGCACATGTACACTGTACAGCGACTACAACCAAATTAATACATCTGTCACCACCCGTGCTGTACATTGTTAGATTTTTAGAATTTGTTCATCGTGTGTGTGTGTGTGTGTGTGTGTGTGCGGATGTGTGTATGTGAATGCGTGTGTGAGAGAGACAGACAGAAAGACTGACTAGGTATTGGACCCAGGGAGCATCGAGCTATATAATTTGCCCAGGCTGACCCCAAAATTGCAACCCTCCTGCCTCAGCCTCCTGAGTAGCTGGGATTT